ATTTGTGACAGCCTAGCTTATCTTGTGTCAGATAGGGACGTTCTTGCTGTCCGCCCTGAGAGTAATCAGGAGTATTAGAGAACTTCCCAATCATTGGTGAACATTACCATAGCAACAGTATGACCTCCTAATAGCACCCTTAATCACAACTCTAGGGGCTTATTATTCAAAAACGGCTCGGTGAAATTTTTTATGTTATCAACTTTTGATAAGCATGATAAGACGCAACTTTTGGCAAAGTTTAAAAAAGTTCTGTAGGTAGAGTTCAGAGCCACCTCAAATTTTCGAAAATTGATTTTCCCACCGATTGCTGACCATCCTTATCGCCACCCACCTGGAGAAAAGTTGCGTTTCATATTCGCCATTTTGCAGCACGCGGCCGTACACAGCATTCGTTGTAGCATCCAACAACAAACAAAAACTACCTCCAAAAACCAGCCATTAACTTTTTTCTACAACTTACTTCTGAGATAAAGTGACGCTTGTCTACCAACTTTCTGTCTAGTTGATTATTCATGTTCCCCTAGAGAAATTGAAAAAAGTAAATTAAAAAAGCAGTCACCGAGATGAATTTCAAAGTGCGAGTTATATACCCATTTAGAGCGTATGGCCATAGCATCATTTCGCAAGGCGGTAGGTCATGTTTCTTACAGTATATCAGTGAAATAATCAACAGAGCAGACAAACAGAGACAACTTCCCCAAAAGAGACATAAATTTATCTGTAAATGCTTACTGTAGGGTGGGATTCACACTATCAGACGCTTTTGTCAGGTCTGTTATTCAATTTCCCCTGAAATCATTCACCACTCTTTGTTCATCGATGTCATTTCTAACAGCCTACCTTATCTTGTGTCAGATAGCGACGTTCTTGCTGCCCGTCCTGAGAGGAATCTGTAGAGGTTCCCTTATAATATAAAAACCAGAAAATAAATTAATCTACACATTGATGAATATCTGAACATTAACTGATTTTCGAAGAAAATCTATAGCGGGCCTTGCTGAGACAGTTCTTCAATGAAGCTAGCATTTAGGCATTCATGGTACATGTAGTTTTTAACTTATTACGCAGTCGGTAGTTGGCAGTTTTGTTACCAACAACAACAACAACAACAACAGCTAGCTTTATTTGTATGACGATAAATACATACAGTGTTGCAAAAGCTTTTGTCAACTAATCTAAAACAGTATTGATTATTGTGAACTTTTAGAAAGGCGATGGTGATATTGCCAGCGATCTTTCTCGTCCTTAGAACCTCTGTTTTTTTTAGTCACGTGGTCGGCGACTCGTAACGACATTTTAAAACGACGAGGATGGCTAGCGATTGACAGCCATCCTACTACGCATGCGTATGTTGCGTATACTTATACTTATGTCGTAGTGTTGGATAAAGATATAGATGTCGAAATTAAAAATAACGATATCTTTTGTGCCCTTCACTTACAGGTACAAAAAGATTGTTTTTGCAGTATTGTAAAAAACTTAGTGAACTGAGAAAGGTGTCTTTACTGATACATACCCATTTGCCTCGTCTTGTATTGGTATTGTACTTTCTCGCTTTTAAAATACAAAGAACAAAATTAATTTTTTGCGTTATTTTATCTCCAAAACTAAACCTACATTTGCCTTAGACTACAAGCTATATATGAAATCGTGCACTGAGAGGATTTTTAGGACGGTTTCCTCTAAACATTCCAGCAATAAAGACAAAATAAAACAGTAACAAAAGAAAACCAAGGATAAAATGTGACCTTTTACCTGATCAGGTTGGCTGTTTGAGTCTATTCCAGTCTGCAACACGAAAAACAACTGTTTGTTAAGAGAACAAAACAACTTCCAAAACACAACATGAAAACTTAACTTTACCGCTGTGTAAAGCTGGCGTCCAGTATTACTGTGGTAAATTTCTAATTGAAGTGGCTTTACGCTACACGTTGTTTTAAGATGACCTTTACACTAGCCCAAATCTCACGTTAAAAGCTTCGTCGAAGAGACTGAGCGAATTTAAGTGAACATTAAGCTCTTGCTTAAAGTTACCCACAGTGTATATGCCAACTTAACACCAGCTAATAAAAGTAAAGTATAATCGTTTGTCTCACGATGTGGTCACTTGTGCTGTACATGGCCATGTTTACATCAACTTAGCGTAGCTCCTGGGCCGAGTTGTTCAGAGCCCGATTAAGCTAACCCAGGAAAAGGTAGAATTTTGATCTGAGTTTTGTAACTTTGCGGTGAGGTTTTCTGTATATTGTTTGGCCTTCTGTTCTGAGTTTTAATAATCACCATATACACAAAACAAAGCAGCAAAAAATTTGCAAAGAAGAAAACGTTATAATTCAGTTAACTTTTAATCCTGGGTTTGCTGTAACGGGCTTCCGAACAATCCTGCCCTGTTTTCAACACGTTAACCTGACATGAGCCCGCGATCCAATCGAAAACCAGCATTTGGCCAGCAGTCAACTTCAAAATAACACGCGACCTCGATGAGCTGCAAACTTGAACCCGCGATATGGTTACGTAATACTGGTCAGCGGATACCTTGTTTTGACAGGTGTCAATTGATCATAACATGGATATCCAATATCAAAAAAGTACACGGTAAACCAAGGCTGCATGTCTCTGTCAACCTATTATTTGGAGTATTGCAGCCATGTTGCGCGACTCCGTCGCCGTCGTCGCCGTCGTCGCGCGTACGCGCCCACGAGCAATACTGCTAGCCATGATAACCATGAGAAAATCAACTCATGGGTTTCCTTTTCCTTCCTATATGAGTATGGGGCTCCGCTTGGCGACCCTTCGGGGCGCCGGAGCTCCGTTAATATGTATACTTGTCAATGCCTATTCTACCTTAGGGAACGACATCAGCTGCAAAAGTTTACTTACCATACTTAGCTGTTTTGAATTGAAAATGTTTACCTGATCTAAATTTCACTAATAAAGCTTTTTCTTATTACTGATACATTAAATGTAAGCTAAGATCGTATAGTCTTCAATGCGCCTTACCTCGAAA